ATGAGAGGGAACAGAGACTGCATGTTCAGACCCTGAGCAAGGAACCCAGCACTTAGAGTGAGCGATATTATATTTGATGAGGACCAGCATAAGGGACAGCTGGATTTGTCAGAAGTGCTTTGAAACAAAACTACCAGAGCTGGAGAGATGGTTCAGCAGTTAAGAGCACTGGCTACTCTTGCAGAAGACCCAGGTTCGAATCCTAGCACCCACATGTTGGTTGACAGCTGTCCTAATGCCAGTTCCAGAGAATCAGGTGCCCTCTTCTGACCTTCGAGGGCATTGCACGACATGAGTGCACTTACATACATGTAGGCAATACACTCATATACATAAAATAAAAACAACAACAACAAAACTACCCAAATCATTGCTTTGTCTACCCTTTCCAAAGGTCAATACTGTGATCCTTCTTTTTAAAAAAAATACTTTACTTATTATTTTTATTTTATGTGTATGAGTGTATTGCCTGCATGTATGTGAGTGCACCCGTGTCATGCAATGCTGCAGAGGTCAGAAGAAGGATTCAGATTCCCCTGGAACTGGAGTTAAGGGTGGGTTGTAGCCGCCATGTGGGTACTGGGAATTGAACCTGGTCCTCTGCAAGAGCTGTCAGTGCTCTCAACCGTTGAGCCATCTCTCCAGCCCCTGTGATCCTTCTTTTTAAACTTGGTCACTCAACTTGAATGACATCCCTGGCTTCCTCATATCCACTGACTCTGTAACTAGTGTAGATGCTGAGTTTCCATAGCTTATCACACATCCAAGCAGCCCCTGCATTGTTGCAATGCAACCATGCAGTAACCTCAGGCCAGGTACCAGTAGTTCCTTCCCAGCTCTCCTCCATCCACTTCTATATTCCTGGAGCCCGTCTCCACCTTGTCCTCCATTTCACCCTTCTGAATTCCACAGAGATCCAAATCTGACTTCTATTACGGAATGAAAAGCAATATAAAGAGCCATTTACAAATGTCTTTTGGAAGAAAGTCTGACCAGCTTTAAATCATAATCCTTGAATACCAGCAAGAACGTATACATGATTACTATGAGAGAGAGAGAGAGAGAGAGAGAGAGAGAGAGAGAGAGAGAGAGAACTGAGAGAACTTGGATTTGTATCACATTTCTGAGGTTCTATTTACAGTTCACCCTTGTGACAATCAGTGATCTTTTGTAAATCAAGCAAACTTTCTGAGTCTTTGATTCAGTTATAAAATGGGGCTAACAACATAAACTTTAGAGTGAAGTGAAGAGCAGCCGTCACGCTGTTGCTAAGTAGCAGTTCTCCTTTGTCTTTCTCCCCAACTTCACCCAAACTCATTTTTTTCTCTAAGGAAGATGACTAAGAAGGGACTCACCATCCTAGAACCATTAAAAATAGATCCTTCCAGTGCACCATGCCGACTAAACTTGTCTGTTCATCTTACAGGGCTTGACACACTCCTTATTGATCATAACATTATCCCTCAACAAAACTGCTTACCCAACAGCTATGGATATAGATTTTCAAGTTATTTGGAGTTTAAATGTTAAAGACATCTTGGCCTATCAATCACACAAAAACACACAACCAAAAGACTAAAACAGAAGCAGCCTTGACCAGTTTGTCTGGTAAATTTCAGATGATCTGGATTTTCCCAGGCTCAATCTCTGAAGTTCATGCTGGCTATACTGCTGCTGTTCCCCAGGCCTCCCTAGAGGACAAGTTTCCCCACCCTTGAGTATCCTTGAAGCCACCTGAATCTCCCAGAGAAGCTTCTATTCCAGTAAAGTGAAGGTTGAACCCAAACAAGTAGCTCTGTGTTTGTTGTATGTTGAGAAATGGGATGTAGATCTGGGGAGCAAAGGTGTCTGTCTGATGTGGACCCTGCCCAGGGAGTCTGTTTCTGAGCCACTTTCTAGCTTAACTCAGGTTCAGGACTGAATCTAAGACAATGGGCCAAGTAGAGGGGTCAAATAAAGGGGGAAAGCATCACTAAGCCTCTGTTCTCCCTCTGAAAGTCTCTCTTGGCTTATCATTCTTTTTTAGTTTCAAAGAAATCCTTTAACTCTAATCACCACCATGGGCCAGGCTAGTGAAGAAGCATCCAGGATGATCTGTGTTGAAGAGGAGCTGGGGAAGCCTAGGAATGGAAGCTCCAGAGTTTCCCCTCTAGGAAGAAACTGTCAACCTAAACCCCAGCTGCAAGAGTCCATGACACTAGGCATGGCAGAAAAGGTTGGCTGGAGGCTAGTGTGGCCCAAGGAACACTTCCTGCTCAACTACATTTGCTTCCAGAGACCCTTATGTGCACAGAGCTTTCTAGAGGTTATCAAGACAATAAAATCAGACTTAGGAGTGTTAAGGGGGCACAGCTGATAACTAAGACTATGGCTATTTGCACCGTGTACTAGGAACCCTCAGCTATGCAGAAGTGAATTCCTATAGGTGATGTGCAATAGTGTATTGAATGCGAACCAGAATTATGTTAAATGTGCTTAATTCCTTAACTTTAATACAAAACCAAACCATGATGTTGGGCATATTTGAAGAACCAATAAATACTTGCTACATGTGTTCCCTACCAGACAGACAGCTCTTTTGTAGATGTCGGTAAGTATTAAGCATTGAAAGTCTATTAATAGACTTAAAAGTATTGCATACCAATCAGCCCAGTAATTCTTTGGGAAAAAGAAAAGCAAACAAACCTGGGCCCAAACCAAAGAATATGGTCACTGTGCCTGAATTAGTTACTGTGAAGAAGAAACCTACTTGTAACCCAAATATGAATAATTATTTTGCAGGTAGGCAGTGGGAACAACTTTTTCTTAATTCTGTGTTTCTGTAAGAACACAGCTACACACAGCTCTCATGTACATACCAGTTGGTGGAAAATGCATTTAACACCCAATGGAAACAATTTTTAAAATAAAGTAGACATACTTTCTAGAAGACCCAACTAAATTGAGTATGGCATTGGAAACCCCAACTAGTTTCTACATAGGCTTGGGTCAACTTGCTTTGTGGAAACTACCTAGAGGCCCCACTCTACAGTGGCAGGAGGGTGGAGTGGGGGTTCATCTCAGAGTGTCTGCCCTGTGCAGTCAGAAAGATCGGTTTAAAGGGTAACTTTCCTTCAGGAGTGGGCTCAATCCCTTCAAGTCACCAACCAGAAGTCTCTACACCACCCCCTCTTCTTGGACCAAAGCCCTTGGGACAGCTCTGTACAGTCAAGGCTCCCCCAGTGATCCCCTGTAAATAGAATCCTGGTGCCCATTGCTACCTCCCAGTAGCTGAGACATGGCTCAGGGGAACACCCTCCCAACAACCTAGAGGGCTGTGGCACCTGGAGAAAGTGTGCCTAGCAGGGCTGATTGTGATGAAGTTGCAGAGAAAGGTTCCATTCTCTTATTTTCTTTTTTTTTTGGAGAATTGAGTGGAATTTTGTCACCAGGATCTAACTTCCTGAAGGGCTGGGATAGGTTGTGGGGAAGCTCATCCAGGTCGGATGTTTTGGGAGGCAAGTCCAGAGCAGCCCCCTCTGAGGTCTGGCTGCCAGTTGCATAGCTGGTGCAGTGGGTGAAAACCCAGCTCCCGCACAGTTGCCGAGTGCGCTTGCAGGCCTTCATTCACCCCTATAAATGAAAGGGGTTGCGTGCGTGTCTGTCCCAGGACCGGCTTCTCCTGCTGCCCACAGTGTCCCACGCGCTTCCCTTGCGGGCGAACCGCCAGCGCCTCCGCCGCAGCGCATCTTTGCAGCTGGTGCCCGGCTTCTCGGCCCGCCGGCCCTCTGCAGAGCCAGAGGCTCTCTTGCTCTCTACTCTTTCCCGGAGTTTTCTTTTTCATAAGTGCAGAACGGTTTTTTTTTTTTTTTTAATTTTCCTCAATTGATAAACTCCCGGGCGTAGCTGGATCATTTAAAAAAAAAAAAAAAAAAAAAAAAAAGCAATCACGGCCTTCCCTGGAGTCAGCTGGCTACACCTGAGAGACAAAGCCCAAGCCCTGATTATCCCATTCCAAAGGAACTTGGGCAGGAACCGGGAGCCTGTCCTTAGAGCCAGAGGAAGCAAGGAGGGCACACTTTCCAGCGGGAGTCACAGCCCACTGGAGATCACTTCCCTTATCTTTAACTTTTAGGATTAATTGAATGTAGTCCTTGTGGCAAAACATAAGGCAGGCGAGGTGGCACGTGCCTGTAATCCCAGTATTCTGGAGGCAGAGGCAGGAGGATCCCTGAAGGTTCCAGGCAGCCAAGGATATATAACCAGACCCTGTCTCTCATACAAACAAACAAACAAACAAACAAACAAACAAACAAACCCAAAGCAAAACAAAAAACACAAAAGCTGCATGGGGCTAGGGGTGTAGCTTAGTGGTACCAATCAAGCATGTGCCCAAACCCTGGGTTACCTGGGGTGGGGGATGTACCCATTTCTGTCTATAAAAGAAGTCATGCTCACTATTTTGTAAACAGACAGTAGCTCTCAACCCAGAATCCTTTAAGGATGATCTCACTGTGACTTTCATTTGCCAGGAAAAAAAAATTTTGTTTTAAATAGTATTACAGTGGAACCTGAAACATCACACTGTCCAGTAACTTGAAACCAGAAATGCAGGGAATCTCCCTGCTAAGGTCATTTGATCAATGGTCACCCAAAGTAATCTACTTGTTTAAAATTGTTCAAAAGTTCACTTGCTATGGTTGATTAAAAATTATCAGAAGATGTTTTGGCTGAAATTGATAGATTAAGAATTGTGTCCTCTGGCTGAGTTAGTCTAATACAATGACATCCCCAAACACTGGACACAATGAATAATATTCTTATGTTGAAATATCCATTTGCTTCTTTGAACTTCAAGGGAAATAAGTGTGTGCTATATGTTTGGGCTCATTATGTGCTTTTAATAATCACTGTAGAAGAAGTGATTTAAAACACCACATACATCACTGAGATTAAATTAAATGTGGTTCTGGACTAGCAGAATGATAGCCAGATGGTAAATAGAACAGCTTCCTACTTACCAATAGGAGTAAGTCCATGCTTTAGAAATTCTTGCAACTCCCCAGTATCCGAATTAGCAGACATCCTTAGTGAAATTATAGGCAATCCTTTGGCTTATGGCAGAAATCATTGAACATGAGAAAAATTGAAGCTTGTCATATTTTGTGACCTTGGAAAGATACTTCAGATTACAGTAACCCTTATTCCCCTAGTGAAAGTTAAGAAAAAAGAAAAAAAAATTCCAGAATTCTGAAAGTTGTAAGCCAGTGTTCCCCTGGACTCTGTACTTTTTCCAGCATTAGTGACCTGCTGTAAACCATGTCTCCAGTTTCATGATGGTTTCTAATCAGAAGAAAGGAAACTTTCAATAGGCTTCTACTGATCACATGACCCTGTGCAGGCTGATAAGAGGACCCTGTTATAAAGTGACAGCAAAAGAGATAAGAACTCTTGGCAGATAATGGCAAAGAAATGATTAACTCAGAGAAGGAGAGGTTCTCTGCAGCACAGAGTGGAAAGTTGTAAAGTGGAGGGGTCAGGGGATCACACCAGCTTAGATCCACTAACTAAACTTAGGCTTGTGACATGCCCTTTTGATGTCACTGCTTCTTTGCAAGGAGGAGGACAGACATAGCTCTTCTGACCTCTGCAAATACATTTTAGATGATAACATTGGCGACATTAATTCTTAAATGATGACTGCAAATATGATTGACACTTCGAAACACTACAGGTAGCTTTTCCAAGCTCACGGTCATTTACTTATTCACGATTTGGTCAACTGACTTAAAACAATCATGTCTATTCATTAGATGAGGAATTAACTGTGCCATGTTTGTATATTAATCATTTGGCTAAATCTCTTTATGTTAATAAAGTAAAACTTGTACTTTGAGGTTAATTTTGAGCAAAATGATAAATATGTAATGCAGTCTTCCATAATTTTTTGTGTATATGAGTGTGTGTGTTGTGTGTGTG